TATTACCTTTTGTATTAGGCTTTGAAACTAATTTTCAAATATAAGCACTTATGCTTCACCTGAAAAATATGCAGGCAGTCTTAAATGGACACTTACATTCAGGCTTACGCTTTTATGTAAATATGGTTTGCGTGCCCAATTTCCCATTAACACAAGGTCACAAATTAAGTTTCTTATATATTTACATAACATCTGAACATGAATTGCATACAACTGCTGATTGCATGAATGCGCCTATTCAGGATTCATACGGGCTTTGTGTCTATATATGAGTGTCAATATATTCACAGAGATAGGTTGAAGCATTAGGTGCTGATATAGGAATTTTCCATATTTCTAAATATTGATAGGTTTTAAGAGGGAGTTTTGTCTAGCTTCTTGATTGTTTTTTCCAAACAAAATTTTCTTTATACTTTTTCCCCTTTTTAATACTGTTTTTTAAATTGTGGTTCTAACTGTACTTTGACGGTCGTCTTCACAAAATATTTTGCCAAAGAGCCAAAGACAGCATAGAAAAGCATGTGTAGTAGTGATGCTATTGATCTTTATAGACATTAAGCTTGCTAATGCTGCTGTGAAATAGGTAAAATAGTACATTAATTTTATAGATGGGCAAATGCTTTAATTTGTTTTCCCCTCTCAATTTTTCAAGTAATGCTGTGAGTCAATAAGTACTATTATCCATGACTCTGGAGCCTATTAAATAAATATATTTCATGCACATGTGTGTAAGATCATTATAGACGTATAACCAGCTCATCTGTAAGTGGCAACTAGATTTGGAGATTATGCTATTGCACATGAATTAAAATAGGCTGCTGCGTTGTCGAGAGTTTCCGTCAACGATGTGATGAGTGAGGGTCCACATGGATGCCTCGTGGTTGTGTGTGCAAGGGATGCCTGAATATCATCCACATGGGATTCCTCCTGCCTGCTCCCTGTTTGCCCCCAGCAGCTCTGGGCTGTCCTTGAGCAATCCTCCCCAGCCTGACCGACAGCAGCTCTTCAGACACCTCTGTGTCAGCAAAAGCTTGAGTTGAATGAGGAGAAACCTGGGTCTCTTTTCCTCCTCCTGCTCCTCCTCCTCCTCTTGGATGCTCTCAGTGGAGTGTGACTGGGGAGGGTCCGTCTTGGGTGAACTCTATGGGAGAGAAGTGTCAGCACGTTTTCTTTGGATCAGGAAAGGTTTAATTATTCACCATTCAAGCTGAAGTTCTCTCAAAAGCTTTTAGTTGAATGTGAATGTCTTTTAGCAGTATTATTAGGCAGACTTTGGCATGGGCATTCTCAATAAGGCAGATAAGAGGGACAAGGCAGAACTACCAGTTTTTAGTTTTCCTTTAGGAGGTGTCCTACGTGGTGACATATTGGGTATTTTAGAGCTGAAATTTGAAGAGAACTCATTTGGCACTTGTAGTATTTTTCCAGAGTCTGATTTTAATCAGCCAAATAACTGAAACCAACTCCTCCCAAGAATCCATCGTAAAACCTAGTTTCTTACTCAATATGTTTGCTTTCTGAGCTAGCTCCTTGGCCAGTTTTCCAATGGAAGATTGCCTTTTTTTCCCATGGGACCGATTCCCTTAGCTTAAGTGAACGCCCAAGTGAAATGAGGCTTATGTACCAGCGTCTGTCATCAGCCTGCACTTACTGCATGGGATGGTTTAAGGATGAAGGAAACCAGCAGAGACCCCGCAGCCACTTTTGACCACCACATGAGAATTCCCCGGCGTTGGGTTACCCAAGACTGATGCTCCTGTAATGCATGCTGGACTGCAGTGGGAGGAACTGCGTGGACATTAGGTGATGGGGCAAATCCAGTGACAGCTCGGCATCACAGCCTTTCTCCTGCTCCAGAAAGGGATCCTGATCTCCTGTGCTGCCTCAGTCAGATACAGGCAGCCCGGCAAAGGAACGTGCATCAATGAGCCTCACACCACATGCCTGAGTTTTGACAGACCTAATGTGAGCGTGGAGATGCATAATGGTCCCTAGAAGACCATAAATTAGTAGAAATCAGAATGCCCCTTAAACTGGTGTGATTTAAGCCTAGGGTCAACCTTTTTTTCTTAAAATCCTGAGAGTCACTGAAGCAGAAAAAACTGCACCAGTGACTGAAATCTCTCTACTTTTCCTCAAATGTTCTCTCTTTCCCAATGAGGAGTTGCTTATACATCTCCTAGACCTTATAAACATGACATGTTTACATGAGAATGAGTTGAATTCTCTTCTACCTCATGTCTCGCCAAGAAAGCAAGGTCCTAATTTCTTATTGCTGTGTCTTTGTAATGCCAAATAGTATTTTAAGGGGCAGAAATAACAAAGCTGAATCATCCGATCACAGTTTGAGTTTCTGATCTCAGTTGGAGTTTTAGGGGCAGGCATTTGTAAGTCAGACAATTACTCTTCTAGAAGAATTTTACAGTTCCTTGATTGTTAAGGAACCACTGGAGAGAAGTAGAAAATGCAATACTTTCAGGATGTCTAAAAGTAATATAGTTCAACTGCTTATGAAGAACAGCCATCGTTGACTTGATGCCCTCCCCTGAGATCGTTACGACTATTACAGGCACTAATCAAACTGCCTCTAGGAACTTCCTTTTAAAGAGGCAAACTGAGAAACAAAACTGTGTTTTCATCCACCAGGAACAGAACAACTTTGAAGGTCTCAGTCACGTAACTTCACCCTTCCCTTTTGATAAAGTCTCATTTTATAAAGGTACTTTTCTGATCCATCAGTTGGACGCGAAGGGCTGGCACCGCAGGGCTATCGCTGCTGCAAGGAAGCAACGTGGGAGAGACACGATGCTGAGTTCGACCATGGAGGGAGGGCTTTGCACCCCCAGCCTTCGCCTTCCCGTCCCGTAAGAGTCATGAAGGGCTGGTGTCTGCCGCTCCGTGACCAGCTCATGGTGCGTAGCGTTCGTTTGAATTGGAGACGCGTAGACGAGTCTTCACTCTTGATTAGTGAGAAAAGTGCTCGTTGCATTAGGTCAAACTGTGTCCTCATTTATGTCTGTGAGCCCCGTGGGAGCGAACGTGGGTAGCCCGGCCCTGTGGGGTCATGCTGGTCTTTTGTCGCCTCGAGAGTGTGTATTGTGTAAATCTGGTGTTTACCATCTGACTGTATTTTATTCAGGAATCAGTCAAGATAGATTTGTTTAACCAAACCCAGTCAGGCTTTCACTAAAGAGGGGCAACATCTATGAAGTACGGCATTTGTAGTCGGCGTTGAGACAGTTTATGGTACAGACTGTGTTTTGCTGCCTTTCTGCAAAAGAACACCGATAGCTGCAAAACCAGAGGGTGCAGCACCGTATGGCTCCTTTCACAGCACGGCTCCTGAAAACAGTCTCAAATTTTATACATCTCATTGTCAATGGATGGTAACGACGTACCCTGCCTCTATTCCTGATATATTAGTAACACCAAGACTGGTAATGCCGGAGCATAAATGTGCTCTGTGCACGCTCCATAACCTAAAATCTGTTGATGGTTTTGAAAAGCTGGATAAAATGACTTAGTCAATTTAATTTAAATCGAAGGCAGATCTTTAGTGTGAGATTTGCTCATTTTATTTCTTCCAGTTATTTAGGATCTCCATTCCATATTGGTCCAACAAAGGTCTTAAAAATCAAAATTTGAACGGTAGGATTTTTTGCTGATAAAACTCATAAAATTCATCCCCAACAGCAAATTTTTCTTATGAGGGTTGGAGCAGTGCTTGCAACACGTATTTTAGGGTTAAGGATTTGGCCAGAGGGCAGAGTGATCATAGAATACAAAGGCTGCATAGTCTTCAATTACACAAAACGTGTAAAGCTAAACTTCATGCAGAGACATTTGTTGCAAGCGCACATATTTTCTGCTCTTATATGGATGACTAGAAGTGTGTATTTAGCCACATGGGTTATTAAATGCAACTCGGTTAATGGCATTTTCCTCCCTTCCAGTGGTCTCCCACACCACATTATTTCTTAGTGGCATTTAGTTCTCTTTCCATCATACCAAACACCCTCCAACAAGCATGTGTAAAGAGGTCTCCACCAGCAGCAAACGTTGATTTGGTGCAAGGGAACACAAATAAAGGGTTGCATCACGGTGCTGCCTGTGAAGTGTGGTTTTGGTAGCCAAACAAAAAAATCCTTGTGCATCGTATTTGGATGTTTATTGTGGAATTTATTAGCAGAAGTTTACATAGGTTCAGCCACTTTCTTACAGGTTTTAACAGGAATTTCCAACCTTCCCTGAGCTCTTAGCTGGTGTGCAGTAGAAACCAACAGAAATAATTTGCATCTTTGTTGTTTGCTGCTTTCGGCCAAACCTAAAATATCTTCAGTTCATTCCAGTCACACTTAGAAGATAATAAGTTTTCATTTTTGTTCTGTTGCCAGAATTGCTTTGGTGTGCTACCCCTGCTTAGCACAGTGCCTAAGCTAAACGGGAATGTAGAAAATTAAGCTTTTTTCAGTAAAGCCAAAAAATACTTTATTCCTGTTGACATAATTTCAAAATGATTGAATGTACTTGTTTTCTCGTAAGTGCTTCCTAATTTTGTGTCTAACCCTGTTGCATTTCAGTCAAAGGATCCCTTGGATAATTGCAATCAATTAAATGTCTGACAAGCTACAACGATTCTCATTCACTCTAAGCCCTGAGTGCTTTTTCTAGAGGTCAAAATTTACTAAGATTAAAATGAAAGAGAAAAATTTGCTGGAAGCGCCAGTTCTCTCTAAGGGCTGTTTACCTGCATAGGTTGAATGTATTTGGTGAACACAGTGATCACAAGAATAAGAATCACCTACCGCTGCAAATCTGCAGCAAGATTGTCTTAACTTTTTAGGATGGGGAGTCAAATGGGAAAATTTGGGCTGGGTGAGTAAAAAAAAAAGCAAAACTCCAATCTTAATTTTTGGGAGGACATAGAAGGAGAGGGGCAGCAGTCATTCTTCAAGAGAGACTCTTTTGCTCAGCGTGTGTCTCCTGCTCTCTGCCCGCAGCCCCCTGCTCGCCGTCTGTTTTGCTGCCTCCTGCGGAGTCCCGGGAATCGCCCTGCTGACGCTGGGAGTAAACCCCCTCACCGGGGCCCTGGGAGCCTTCAACATTTTCTTGTACACGTGTTGTTACACACCCATGAAGAGAATGAGCATTGCCAACACGTGGGTGGGAGCTGTCGTCGGTGCCATTCCCCCCGTCATGGGCTGGACTGCGGCTACTGGTAGTCTTGATGCTGGTGAGTATAAACCCCTTGCATCTGGGTGAGCGGTTGTCAGCATTGCCTTTGGGATAGCTAGAAAGACCCTCTCAAAAGGCAGTAAACCTCGCTCTTTATGCTTGTTGACTTGATCCTGCTTCGAAAGCAGATATATTCTGCTGTTTGCGATGCCAAAGTCTGTTATGGCGTGGTACCATAAGGACTGAAGATGTAGATATGATTGTATCATTCTCCTTATGCGGGTATTTCAGGGGCAAACATGAGCTGATGAAAGACCATGTCCTATTAAATATGTGTTTAGGCCATCTTAGAAAAAAATACCTAGAAGGATAATAGTATCTTTGGGGTTCACGTGGAAGAAAATGTTATGTAATTTCAGGATTAAAACCATACCCAGTAAGATCCAACTTACAAGTCAGGAGCTTTCAACTGGAAAATTCCCAGATGTGTTTATTACTGTCTTTCCACAAGCCAGAAAATATCCTAGGAAGATTAATTTATTGGTGTATTTCTTAATTGCCCACTTCTAAACTCTAAGTTATAAATGTTCCTTCCCCCCCTCCTTGAAAAGCAAACGAAGATTTCTATTTTAGTAACTGTGAACCGTTTTTGCATCCCTCATAAAACACTGATCTCTTCAGCAGCTAAACTCTGACACAATTAGGGCTTGTTTTTCCTGCTAGCTAGAAACTTAAGAATCAAAGTGGCTCCACATAGTTATATTCTGAAGAAACTCATGAAGTTCAATTAACAGGTCTGCTAAGAATTTTTTTAGCGCACACTCATCCCACAGTGTGGCATATTTAAGGCTTGAATAATACTTTCAACAACAAGGCTTTTAACCAGAAATTATTAGAATCTGTGCAAAATCCCTAGCACGCCGTTCTTCATTTATGCTACGCGCTTCCTATAAAAATCAGTCTGAATTGGCTTTGTGTATGCATGTTCTGATACAGATCTAATCCAGAGCTACGATGAAGGGTTTTGTGTTTTGGTTTTTTTTAAATGTGTGTGCTACTTCTATACAAACATTTACTTGTCTGAAAGTTTTTTTTATATTTAGACCTATAAATGATATGTATGTATATATATAGTGTCTCATGTTATGGAGTGCATAACAGACATCATTACAAGGTCTGTATTTCTAAAGAGAAGAGAACGAATTAAAAACACAAAATGTATATTTTTAAGGACTGTATCATTCTGGCTGCAGTTGCTTAAACCTTGGAGCTTACGTTGTTTAGAGATTTCTGCGTTGGTTTTGGCATCTCTTTGCAGAGTTGGTGCTAGAAGATGACTCTCGTGCCCATGCTGCACCTGCAAAGTCCAGCCTGGAGGAGCTGGAGTGGAGAGCTCTGGCTCACCAAAAGCCCTTGCTATAGAGGCTGTCACACTTCAAATTTTCACCCCTGGTTTTAAAATGGCAGTTAAACTGCTGCAGTTAAAGCCCAGCACGTTAAAGTAAACTGGCATTGATTTTCATTATCTTTAATTTGTCAAGTTACAACTTGCTCTTTGAGACCTATTTCGCAAAGAGCTAAGCTGTCCCTGCGCGGCAGGCAGAGCAGGCAGCAGAGAGCACCATCTTTGTCCCAAGTAAGCTCTTCCTCTCTAATTTGCAACTGAGATGCGGTTACAAGTCCCTCTGCCAGCTCTGCTGTGGAGGAGATAATCTCTGGCAATGATGCCATCAGGGGAGGATGATAACTTAAAACCACCTGAGCAGACTTTGCCAGAACATGATGATCTGCACTGGTGCGTAACCTGATGTTGTATTGTTTGTTCTGGGTAGCTAAAATTTTCTACAGTCACCTCCCAGTCTGTGTCAGTGAGGCCAGGCAGCTTGTTTAATAGAGAAAGAAATGTTATTGAGCTGATACTGGTCTTTGTAATGAAGCACACCTGGGGAGAGTCCTGAAAATGGTGACCCGAATGTAATATTTTAGTGCATTTCAGTATTTTAAAAAAAAACAACTTTAAAAAGAAAAGAGATAAATAGAAGAAAAGGACTGCATTGTAAACTATGATTTTCAGTGTTAAGCATTCTGCTATTGCAAAGGAGAAGAGAGTTCAGCATCTGGCAGCATCAGACCCGCACAGAGCACAAGCGTGCATCCGCGTGCATACATACATGACGTGCAGACCTGCATCCCTTCTCTAACCAGGCTGCCCACAGTTGTTGAACTCATTAATAATGTGTAATTAGCTTGGAGACTTAACCTAGTTTTAGGTAGAGGTGTGAAAATGCATTTGCACCTCGTTTTAAAAAAAAAAAAAAAGATCATTCCACTCAATAACAAAGAGGAATGTGAAGGAAGGGAGTTAGAAAACTAATGAGAAGGAAGGTTCTCACCGCTTAACTGGTGTTTTTTTGAGTTTACGTTTTCCTGTGAATTTTCTCTCCTTGTAATCTTCTCACAGCAGCCACATTGTTGTACATGTGGCTGGTTGTAGTGTAGACCTTTCATTACCATTTGAGGGGGTTAACCAAGTTACACCGTACTGTGTGGTACGTAGGACAGCTGTGTCTGCACTCTTCTATAATGTCAGGAGTCCCATAACATCACTGGCGTGGTTCAGAGCTAGTGCTGCCAGATGCTCTTGGTCGTTTGAGAGAGTTGGAGGTGATTCCTGGTTTCCAACTCCAGAGATAATAACAAATTATTATAATCTGTCTCAGATTGGAGCAGCCTTGTTTTAATTTGTCCTCATTTTGTTTATAACTTTCTTATTTTGAAGATTAATACCTTGACAGTTTCTTGCATAAGAAACAAGCATCGCATATTTGCAGATAAAAATCTGGGATCCTTTTATTTCCAGTGATGCAAACACTTGCTAGCATTTCTTACACTACACATCTTCTGCAGATCTTACGGTGGTTCCCAGTGGTGCTTGCTTCCATTTCTGCCCCTGATAGGTAACTTTAATTATATGCTCTTAAACCTGATTGAACATCCTGCCCCCAACCCTAGATTTTGTGCCAACGTAATTTAGGGAAAACCTCACATTTCAAAAGCGAAAGATAAGGTTATCTCTGGGAAGATGCGGAATTCTTTGTTGTGGGTTTGGGGCTTTTTGTGGTTTTTTTTTTAATGGCAGCTGTTTGAAACTGATGAAAGATCAGGAATGTTAACATTTCCTCGCTGGGGGAGCTGAGTGCAGGTGAGATGGTCAAAGGTACGTGATAAATGTAATTTATCACGTGGCTATCACTACCACGTATCTGGTGTATTTATGCAGAACTTAACTGCCAGCCTGTGATTTGCAGTAACACGTTTGCTTCCTTGAAAGCAGATTTCATTGCTCCTTTGTGGTACTATTTCTTTCCAAAGAGATTTGTTTTTCTAGTAAATCTAGACACTCTCAAATTATTTCTCCTGATTTTACAAAGGAAGGACTAGCAGAAAGAATAATGAAATTCACTTAAAGCCTTAAGTGATAGCGTAAAGACAGGAAAAAGAGGCAAAGCTCGGCAGAGTGTCCTGTTCTGTGCTGGATACTCCTCTGTGCCGGATCCACACGCAGGAGAGCTCCTGGCTGTGCCACGCTGCTGTTGAGCCTGTGTACAGACGTCTTTAGGAAGTAACAGAGCTATTTATTTTGGCATGCGAGAGGCACAACATATACATGCTTTAAATTACTCTTGTGTTGCTGGTCTTTCTCCCCAGACTAATGCTGCAGCTTCCTTGTTAGAAATGTTTGCTGTCCATTTAAACTTGTTATTTCTAGTTAGCAGAAAAACTGAATCTGCGGTAAATGTTCCCAAGTGCCGTAGCCCGTATTTTGCCTTATACATTTTGCCCTTCTTCCACCGACCTTCCTGTGCTTGTGCACTGAGGGCTCGATCCCAGCCGGCGAGTGGTATCCGTGTCTTAGAGCGGAGCAGCTCAGTGCCACAGCGTTCATACAAACCACCCAGTTAGACGGTAGTGACAGGCAGGGGTCCTCAACATAATGTGCTTATCAGTTAAGGGGATTTATTCTGAGTAGGTGGCAGTGGCACAGCAGATAACAGCCCTGACAGTATAGCAGACATTACAGACCCATGGTGGCCTGGAGCCATAGGTATTACTGCACCAAAGAATGTTTATCTCAAGAGACTATTTAGTTTATCTCAGATGCTCCACTTCTGGTCTCCCTTTCCTGAAAGACATCTTGTACTTATTTTCATTCATTTTCCGAAATTTAAATAATTCCTGGGGCTATGGAATTTATAGACTGAGTATCAATTGTAATCATGTGGAGGCTGATTTTTAAATTGCCTTTACTTTGTAATTCAAATTGTGTTGTATGGTAGACATTAATTATGTCAGCCAACATCTATTTACAAATGGGGATTTAAAAACGGGCAGTTCTTATCAGCTAGTGACATTTGGCAGATGGATGGTTTCAGCAACAACAAAAAAAAGAGAATAGGGGAGAGGGGGGGCTGCGCCCAACCTGTCAATGGCTGGAGTCTCTCATACCTTCCCTGGTGTAGCACTTGTCTGCCGGGAGGAGGGAGAGCAAAGCAACAGCTTAATTGCATGCAAAATAAGCTTGGAGATCTTTGTGTCCCTTCCAGTTAAGCACTTTGAGCTTTGAAAGCCCCTTGATGTGTGAGCAGGTCTGAGAGTTCTGACGTCCTGCCGCAGGACCAGAGGAGACTCCGGCTATAAACTCCCCGTAGTAAACTCAGGTTTTTGGGGTTTCACTTCTCAGATGAAAGACAGCAGAATTTGTGGTCTGTTCCAGAGGAAATAGAGATATTCATGTTGCTGACATATGAGAATTGGAAGCTGGGGGCCCAGGAGTGTGCTTTGGGGGGGTAAAAACTGTAAAAACCGAGGCAGAGGGACAATACGAGTAAGCAGCTGGTCTGAATTTAGGACAAAAGCCAGCGGGGAATTTTTTTTCCCCCTTTCCATCTTCACGAGAGACTAAAGAAATGGCAGTTCCACCGCTGGGGCACCTGGGGGACCGACCCTTCGAATTCACAGGCGACGTGCCCTTACCCGGTTCTCTGCCCCACGCCTGGC